GAGAGTGTTTGTGACTCTTCTGCATCCATGTATTATCCTCAGCTGTTAGACTTCAACACCATCCAACACATCTATAAGCTTGAATCTTTCAAATATACAACTTTATCCTCATAAATTAAGGATTTTATACTCTTAATACTCAATTCTCATAAATTTTCAACTTTATTTTTGTAATTTTATGAGTTCATCCACATAAATTCACAACTTAATTCTTAAATCTCTGTTTATTTTTAGCTTGTCGCTCTTAAACTTTAGAAATGTCTCCCACTTGAATTAATAGGAATGGACACAGTAAACATTATCGAAGAGACATTTCTTCAGACCTGCATGTGCTGCTTTTATGTAACTGCTGTATCTGCTTTTGAAACATACTTGATAAATAAACTTTAGTGGCATCTTTTCCTCAAATGACAATAGTTTTAGCTCACTGCCCGCAGCAGACAGAGCCTGAGGATAATTGGCCTAATTTCCATCCAGTATGATGCTTCCTCATTGTTTATATCTCTGAATTTCCCTTGACACCTCTGTGGTTCCTATTTGCATGCTGTCCCCAAAAGAGATAATTACCTCCCGGAGAAGAAGTTTCCATGCAGAGTGTTGAACTTTGGCACTGACTCAGGGCTTCTTCAATTTAAAGAGTTCAACTTCTGTAGTTCCATAGTCATATTTAGACACTCTGACTAATTCGCTCCAAAACAGTTATTTTTTCCTTAAAGGAAGATTAACTTCAGTAGGAAATAAGATCATGTAAAGAAACAATTTAAGGTTCAATTCTATTGCGTGCATTGACATGTTTGTTTTGTGGCCTTTTACTTTTGTATAAGTTTTCTGTGATTGCACACTTTGGATTTGTATATGCAGCATCATTTGCTTTTTTGCATCCAGTTATTTTTCATTTGCAGCACTTTTTCTCCCATTGCATTTGTCTTTAAACTTTTGCATACATTTATGAAGCTGTGTCTGCGTTTGAAGCAAAACTCTCTTAAAGGAGATTGACTTTGCCTTTTGAGATCTATTAACTGTGTGAAAATCAAACTGTAACGGTCAACCTGAAATGTTACATCCCTGATGTTGGATAGTTTTGCAAAAAGTCAAAAATGAATCTTAAGTTCAAGTTAAAATTCACCAAGAAGCTCAATCTGTGATAAATTGTTCTTTCTTGTGCTCCTTTAAACAGGCCAGTAGTTACATGAAACCAGGGAAGTCAGAGCTGCAGTCACAATACATCCACTTTACAGTATCCATTAGCACACTGACTCCATAATGCTGCTCCTCAAAGGTGAACATGTTGCTTTATACAGCGTGTAATAGAATTTGGCAGAGCCATTATCTGCAGGAGCCAAAGAGGCCATCGAGCTGAGAATGACGGCAGACAAAGCGTGTCAGCATCAGGATGCTGCAGACGTGCAGGAACTCTTCCTGGAGCTGCAGAGCACACTGTATCACGATGAAGGAACAAGATGATTTTACATAGACATATGGATGAGTTCAGATGCATTTTAAGGGTAGACGCCTCAGTGAGAGGTCAAGTCTTCTGTGGAGAGTTTGGATAAGAGTGGTGAGCTTTGTTAACACCTGTTTATGGAGCAAAGAGAGTAAAAATACACAGAATTTAAAGTACACCAACACATTAATTGAATGGATTTTATCTGCTTTTCAGTTAAGAGTCCGATACAGAAGAAGAAGACACTTGCTTTACAGTTTTGTTGCATTATGTTACTGTAACTGTTAAGAATGAGGCCAAAAAGACTGTGATTTAAAATAAATAACATACACTTCATAAAACTGTGAGGAACATTTATTTTCTGGCTAGTATGGTGGATGTCAATTCCCATTTTCTGAGAATAAAGTTGTCCAAGACAAGATCAGCAAGGTGTCCAGCCACAGTCTTTCCAGAGTCCTGATACCTCAGACAATGGGCCCCTGGTGTGCTGAAAAGTCAGTATCTTGTAAAACTTAAACTGTACTACAGAGTAAAGTGACGCCCCAGACAGCTGGCTAGTTGCTGTGAACAAAAACTCAACTTTATCACGACTTAATAAAGTAAATATAATATGACCAGCAGGGTACAATTTAACATTTTGTTTGACACCTCCCCTGTGGCAGGAGTTTGAGAAAGTAATGAGGATTTGAATTTTGAAACAAAGTAAACTGAAGTAAATTTTAAAATATTAGACACCATACGATGATTTTCTTCTGTTGTCTTTTTAGATCCATACGATCAAAGACCAGACATTTCCACATCAATTAGAGCAGCCTGTCTCATCAGAAAACAAAAGGAACAGATTTACCAGCTCTGAATGATATTAATTTGAACCTCAGTGGGCCTGTGTTGGCGTTATTTGTCCTCTAACCTCTCTGCAGATTCACAGTCTGTATTATTGCCTTGCTCTCATAACATCCTGTTCTGTTTCAGACATGTTTTTGCATCCATCCCTGTTCTCGCCCTCTGAAGTCTCTCTCGGTCTACACAAGGTGTGAAAAATGTGGGTGGACTTGGACTGGACTGTCCACTTTCTCCTGAAATATAAAATTCATACATATCCTTGGCTGCCTCTCAGCCAAAAATGGAATAGCTGCCTTTAAGACAGCTTCCAAGAGCATGTGACATGTAAAAATAGCTGCTTAAAGCCAGAGGAATTTAACACATCTATCTGTTATCACTGTATGAGAGAGCCATTCAGTATGTCTCTGCTCATAATTGTCTTCTACAGGAAGAATAACCTGATTGTTGTCTTTTTTTTTTGTTTTGTTAAGAAAAAGAGTTTGAATCATGGTGATTTGGCTCTCCCCCTCCATCTGTTTTGTTTTCCTTCCATCTCCCTCTTTTTGATGAGCTGGGTCTTCAGTCCCCCTTATAAAATCCCATTAGCTCTTAATGAAGTCGGGCTCCTAGCCTCTCGGCCTCACCTCATTTAGCACGATTGTCTGGCGGCCATTAGCATGGAGGCAATTACAGCCGCACGACAAGAGTAATTGGAAATGCCGACAGGGACCCTGAGAAATGGGAATAAATAAATATAAAAAAAATATTCAAACTAATAAGCTTCCATTCAGATGGCGGGAGGGAGCCGCATGTGTCTAAGTTAAATCAACATAATTACAATTAGGGCTGGTGGGGTAAAGAGCTGGGGTAAGGGAGAAACAGATCTGAATGGATTGGAGGATGATGGTTAAACAGAGAGGTACAGAGTGAGATGTGGGATCGCACTGTGAGGCTAATAATGCAGAGTATATGAGTGTGAACACAAACTCATGCAGCACTGAGGTCAGAGAGGATGTTTTTCCAGCTCTCTTTTGAAGGGTAGTTTTAGCATTCAATGGCCAGTTTAGGTACCTAAAACTATTCATGAGCTCAGAAAAACTTTAAACCCGATGTCGGAGCGCAGGACTGCTCGACCTTTCATTAACTTCACCAGGCTTTTGATTTTAAGGTTAAATTGAAATCCCTTCAGAATATGTTTTGTGGTGCAATGGTACATGTACACCTGTATGAATACTTAGACCGATCAGCCAATACATTATTAAAACCATGGCAATCTGATGCAACCTAATACAACAGCTCAACAATTTGGTGAACATGATGCACCAAGTGATAACTCTTTAAATTAGTTTTTGTGTGGAGTAGTGTTGTACTGCAGTAAATTATATTTAAAAAATTTAATAATAATAGTAATAAAACTGATAGTAATAATGCATCAGATTTCATATAGCGTTTATCAGAGACCCTCAAAGCACTTTACATTGGATACATCATTCATTCACTCACACAGTCACACCCTGGTGGTGGTAAACTACCTTAGTAGTCACAGCTGCCCTGGGACAGACTGATGGAAACATGGCTGCCAATTCACACTTGCGACTTCTCTGACCAACACCAAACAACACTTACAATTATACACCAGTAGAGGACACACGCTAGGAGCAAAGTGGGTTAAGCTTCTTGCCCAAGGACACAAAGGGCAGAATCAAACCGCCAACCTTTCAGTTGTTGGGCTCTATCTGCTGTGCTACTGCCAAGGGGTTCCTAATATTTTCCTACCCTATTGTTTGTTGGCATGAAGTGGAAAAATATTAGGAACAGCTTTTAATATAACTTACTGCAGTACACCACCACCCACTGCATCTTAAATAATAAACACAAAAAACAATGATCATATTTCTGATCATGCAAACAAAAACTGAAATAGGGAAGCTACCCAACAGACCTTGTGGCTGGTTTGAGCATTTTCCAATATTTTTTCTAACATCATATTATGATTATCTGATTTACCTTCCTGTCCCCGGGGCTCTAGCCTGGGACCTCTTCTATTAAATATCTACAAACAATTACTAACCCTGATTGTAGGAAATAACTTTACAAGTGATGTTTCATAAGTTAAGTTGAGCATAGTTACTGTAGGTAGAGCTACAGTACAGCTCAACTGAGTCACTTGATCAGACTACTGTCTTTGTCCTACTACATAGACATAGACTACCAAAACAATAGACAAACACATAAGCAAGATGCTAACTGGCTTTATATTGACTCAATATAAACACAACTTTTTACAACTCTGCATTTTTAAAGCACACTGAATAGAAGCTTCAGCTTTTTTTTTTTTTTTTTTACATCCCTTCTTTTTTTTCTGATAAGGTTTTGTTTTCTAAAATACATTTAATTTCAAGTTTCATTTCTGTTTAACTTATGTTGTTGTCTCCAAAGGTACAGCTTCAGGATACAAATAAGGTAGCCAGATTTTCATAATCTCTTCAGTTGTACAATACCGTGGCCCGGTAGTGTCAGGCGATTTGCATATTTAAAACGCTTTGTAAAAGAAAAAAACACGAATGCAAACAGCCACAACATAATTGCAAATAAAGACAACAAAAGTAAACGTACAGCAGCGGCACAGAAAAAGCACAATCGCAAATTGCCACAACACAAATGCAAATAACTACACCAGAAGTAATCTTCCAGCAGAATCAGAAGTGGGCAGCGTTTCTAACAGACTGTTATTACTGATGGACATGTTGTCGATGGAGAGTGTGGAGAGTTGGAAAAGGTAAGTAAACTGAAGTTTGCTCGCAAATTTCAATTGCTTACTGAGATGATTACAAAACGGTATTAATCGTACAGGAAATTTGCTTTAGACTTCAGTTTTCTTATTTTTTCCAACTCTCCACACTCTCCATCCACAACATGTCGGTCAGTGATCATAGTCTCTCAGACACGCTGGTGGTAGTTTGCCCATTGCTGATTCTGCTGCAAGATTACTTTCAGTGTTGTTATTTGCATTTGTGGCATGGCTCTTTGAGTTCATGTTGTGGCCTTTTGCAATTGTACTTTTTCTGTGCTTCTGCTGTATGTTTACTTTCGTTGTCTTTATTTGCGTTCGTGTTTTTTTCTTTTGCAAAGCGTTTTAAATATGCTAATTGCCTCACACCTCCTGTCCACCGTGTTGTACAGAAATAGATGGGAATTTCGTAGATGGGTTAGAGTCCCTGATATTGCTTTTGATATTAATTACCTATGAAAATGAACTGAAATTACCCCCCACCTAAAAAAACAGAGGAGGCTTAAAGAGTTGCACAATGAGTTCAGCTGTTGACACAAGTGGAGTTTACATAATGTCATATCTGCCAGAGCCAATAAAAACAATGCTGCACCTATAACAGATAAAGTGTTTCATCTGCAGCAGCTACTTCTCACTACTTTCAAAGTTATCAAGCACTCAGTATTTATACACATTTCCAGGCATCTTGATTTAACTAAAATCCTTGGTGTTATCACATAAACCTGGCAGGACTGAAATCACATCTGAGGAAACCTGCAACAAAGCTAATGAAACGCTCTCCATGAGCAAAACTAAATGAGGTCCTAAAGACTTTACTGCCAGCTTTCCACCGGCATCCAATCTGTAACAACACACTGTGTCTGTGAGATGAATTACAGCAGGCTATGTTGTTTTCCTACCCCCAACCAGGAGATTGTGTTTTTGTCCAGTTTGTTGGTCTCTTTGTGTAGTTAGTTAGCCGAGTAATACTCAAAAAAATCTTAGTACACTACCAATTCTGATACAAGCTAATAGAGTTATAGAGAAGGCACGCTGTCAAAGAAGCACTGGTTGGTATAATTTGTATGCAAAACATATTGGCATCTACTATATAATATGCTAAAACAAAACTGCTGCAGCTTTGGACATGGTGCCAAATCGAAAGCACATGAAAATCTGGAAACAGAAATTTGCAGCAAATGAAAACACACGATGCAAAGAGCCAAAATACAGACTGAAACAACTTCAACTCAGCAAATACAGCAATTTTACTGACACAAAGCCCTAAAAACATACACAAAAGACAACACTGCTTATTTAGTGAACAGGGCGTAAGGCCTCTAGAGGGAACTTTGAGGAGCTTACTTTATCAAAACTTTAAAGAAAAGGTCTGTTGTAATATGTGTGGTAAATTGTAAATGGAAGGCATTGTATCTCTTTCACTTATCTTCTTACCACCCAATGCGCTTTTGCATTACATGTTGCATTTACCCCACAGCCAGCAGGGAAGGTTGAGTATTGGCATGTTGGCCAAGGATATCTCAACATGTGGCCAGCAGGACCTGGGAATCGCCCTGACAGAATCCCTAATGGTTGACATCCATGTTTTGGGACTACATGTTTTTTGCAATCAACGTTTTTTTTTTTTTTACTCATTGAAAATGTTTTTGTTTAATTTCTCTGTTTGTGTTGTGGTTAACATAAACACTACAATGATATTGTTTTCATCACCAGACAGCCCTAATTTACACAAACAAGATGATTTTCTTTACAGATGGCTGGTTTAAAGCCAAAATGTTTATGTTGTTGTCTATTTTTATGTCATCTTAGCTAATCACCAGCCCATATGTTTAAATACTGTAAGATGTTAGAATTTCAGGAGTTGATAGTCTTCAGTAAACAGGTCACTGCAACTGTGGGTCTTTTCCATCCTTGTTATTTACCTGTGCAGACACTGTGGGTGCATTGTTCTCACTCCGTCCTAAAATGAATTGTTTTGTCTCAAAACACAGTGTGTCTTTTTTTTCAGGCTGCGAGTTGTAATAAGTCTGTAATGTTGGTGATCTCAGCAGCATCGTCCTTGTTTTGTTACGCTTTTGATAGGATCGCTGATAGCTTGCTTGTTTTGGCTTTTGACCAGAGACTGTAAACAGACTTCTTAATGAGATGTACCAGGTCAGAAATCATCCGGTGATGATGAAGATAAGAGGAGGCTGTGAAAATTTGTTGCAGCACAAATTTTGCAGATTCATTATTGGTTTAGGAAGCCAAACAGTGATTTAACTGGTTGTCCGCTGAACAGAGCCAAGATCATCATCCTATCTGTTGTCGTCAGCATTTGGCCGAGATTCTTGCCACAAATTTCATTTTTAGTTTGCTTACCTTTTACGTCATGGTCTCAATGTCATCATTAAAAAAATCGATCTGTCTACTTTGTTAATAAATACTGTTACGAAACAGACTTAAGATTAAGATTAAAACTATTGTCTTTGTAAGACCTACAAAGGCATAGGAGACCATTAACTTAACGTCACGATACACCTAATTTTTGGTTTATGGCCTTTTATAACTACAGCGGTTATCCACTTTGTTTTTTGTGCTTTATGATAATACTAATTATAATTATAATTACAGTTTATTATTATTATTATTATTATTTACATTTTTTGGTATCATACAGTGGTGTTAAAAAAAAGAACTAGATTTGAAAGTTTGTTTAAGTGTTGAATGGCTTGTGGTGTCATTTTAGCATGAAAACCTGTTGATCAATGGTGAAAAATAAAATTTAAGGAACCTTGGGAGTTTGTTTCTGAACCTTTGACAAGGAAAACACAGTACAGTAAACACCAATCATGTACACAGACCTCTGTCCTCTTTCTTTTGGGATGTTTTAAGGGCTACTTTACAAAAAGACTTTGACTGAATGGCAATTATGAATAGCTGAACCCCACTTTGTGTTTTGTATTCTAGGTGAATGACTAGCTGAGTGAGTTGCTTAGCACAGTGTTTGGTAGATGTAATAAAGGTTGCCTTCTTTTCCTGGTTGATCAAACTAGGACAGTCTCCACTGCCTGAACTCAAAGAATACTTTAGGAGTCTGAGAGTGTGATACTGAAACAACAGTGGGCTGTAAGCTCCCAGCTAGGAGCCAGATTGTCATGGTATTTCTCCTGTGAACACCCCCACTCCTCCATGCCCCCTCGCTCCCACCACCCACCACCGATGTTGCCCCCTTTCCTGCCTCCTAAGCTGAATGACAGGTGGCAGAAACCCGATCAGCTCGGCCTTCATCAAGGAAGCACTCCCATCTGAAACGGGCACGCTGCCCACTCGCCCACCCGAACGCCACGGCACAGGGAGCTTGTGGTGTGTGTGTGTGTGTGTGTGTGTGTGTGTGTGTGTGTGTGTGTGTGCAATGAACACAGATTCAAGGGGGTGAGGGGTGTAATGGACTTCTTGGCCGCAGAATCAAGCTGCAAAGCTGGCACCAGGTGTGCAGGGCTCAAACGGGAAACAGGGGGCCGGCTCCCACAATAGCCCATGTGAGAGTCCCTCAGCGGCATCCACAATAAAGGGGCGAGCGACTGTCGTTATGAGCGACCTCACTGCTTGAACCGACAGTCCCACCCTTCAGCACTTCCCTTTTCGTGCGCCCACACAGCCAAAGCAAGATTATTATGAGAAACATGTATGTGCAACATGTGTCTGATTTAACAGGGAAGTGCTGTCATCTGGACTCATTTTACCGGACTGGCTACTGTGCTTTAGTGTGTGAATGGTTGCAGATTTCTATTTTTTTTCCATTTCAGAGCTTCTGACTCAAATGTCCAAACTCCTCTGCAGGTTTCTGGAGCAACTACGACATCAGAGTGCAAAGAGCTGGATGTTTTACAGATAAATTAATGTGAGCTTTTTCAAACTGTAACTTTAAAACATGTATGTTACACTCTGGTGTTGCAGAGCTTTATGATTGTTCAGTCCGAACTGTAAAAAAGTTCATGTACACATCAGAGCTGATAAGTACATGACACTATGTGGTAGTGCTATCAGAAGGACAACATTTTGTCTTTGATACTGACAAGTTTAGGATCATGATACTCATTACAATACAGTACAATTATACTGGTTCAGGACTCAAGGATTGGCTGGGGCACAGATCATAAATCCTGCCTCCTCCATGTTAGTAAATGGAACAGGCTAGAAAATGTAAGTAGGCACCAAATGTTCCTCAAACATATCTAGTGTTCATTTTTTTGTGACACTTTGGTCATTTAGTTATCTTATGTCAAAAGGCGCTGCCACCACATTGTTTTCAGCCATCGTCTGGACACCAAAGTTCTTCATGGAAACACCATCAGACACTGACAAAGGCTTGCAAAAGTTAGACCGAGGCAGCCTTCTCATAATTTGACCACCAGACGCTGTATCAGTCAGTGTTTTATAGAAAGACTGATAGAAGGCTGCTCCTCATTACTTGCGATTTAATAAATGTTCCCTTATATATTCTGAGGTTGCACAGACAAAAGTTTGGTTGCACATGGGACTGAAATGAATGCAGTTTCAAGCCCTGTTGAGATTACTTTGGATCCTTTTTATAGAATGGGAGGTGATGGAGGTGCATCATTCATCAAAATAAACAGTTAATATTTTCTATGCATTCACATTAATTCATTGTTCCATGAAATACATGAGAATAACATAAGAATAAGAAGAACTTTATTGATCACCGAAGGGAAATTCAATTGTCTTCAGGCTCAGTTGTCATTTCTCAAAAGGTCATCTACTATTTACAGAAAAGTTGTAACGTCTGATGGCTGTGGGTACTAAAGATCTTCTGAACCTTTCTGTCCTGCAGCAAAGAGAGAGGAGCTGTCCACCACAATTGGCCCTTTGGTCCATCAAGGTGTTATGAAGTAGGTGATCCATGTTCTTTAAAGTAGCCTCCACCTTCCTCAGTGTAGGTCTCTCCACCACATCCTCAGCTGAGTCCAGCTTGAGTCCAACCACAGCGCCAGCCTTTTTCACCAGTTTGTTCAGACGTCTTGCATCTTTGTGTTTGATGCTTCCTCCCCAGCAGACTGCAGCGTAGAACAGAACAGAACACTATAGACACCACAGACTGATAAAACATCTGCAGCATCTTACTACAGATGTCTAT